ACTATGTCAGAAATTGCAGTTGACTGGGGAAATGAATTAAAGTCTATTTAATTAACCTAATTAACCTCCCTGTGCATCAACTGATATCTTTATAGGCCTGTCAGAAGCAGATAATTGTGGATGTGCATGGTGAAACATACTTCTAATCTCAGCTGTAGAGGGGCAGGGAGATCCCTAGTTTTTGGCTAGCCTGGGCTACATACAGTCCCTACTTCAAAAATAACAACTGGAAGGAAAAAAAAGAGATCTACCCTATGTAAAGATACTTAGTCTTTTCTCAGGAATCTAGGTCCTCCATTTTCAGTGCCACCCATTAATTCACACTTTCATTATTCCTAGCATATGTCACCACAGCGCTTTCCAAACACTTACCCTGCCACCAGCTTGCTTTGGCACAGCTCCAACCACCATACCCAAAAGCAAAGAGGATTATGTTGTAGTCTCAAAAAGCTCTGCTGGACTGTTTTCCTTCTGAACAAAATCTCCATGCTTCAGGATGGACAGCAAATCATCTGTTTTCATTAGGATCTGCTGGATTCTCCCATCCCACTTAACACCTGACCATCCTCCTGTCTGGGCAATATCCCATTGGGTTTCACAACATGCAGGGGCCAGACTCTCCCTCTTCCTATTCTGGGACAGGCAGGTTGTGAACATGTGGCCTAGATTTGCTGGGCAAGTGCTTCTGGGGTCCTGGGGCTCAAGAAGTACTGTAAAGTCATGAAAAATGTTGGCAAGCTATTCTCCATGGTGATTGTGGCAGCATGAACCTAGGGCTAGTGGCTGATGAACTTAGGGTGGCATGCTGGCCACACATTCCTCTGGCATGGCTCTGGCCTCCCTTGTTCCTACCTGGTTTCTAAAGCCATTTTCCCAGCTTTACTGTGAACTTGGGGAAGGAGCACCATCGAAACACCTTTGTTTCTTTTTTTAAATTATTTTTATTTTATTTGCATTAGTGTTTTGTCTGCATGTATGTCTGTGTGAGGGTGTCAAGATCTTGGAGTTACAGACAGTTGTTAGCTGCCATGTGGGTGCTGGGAACTGAACATGGGTCCTCTGGAACAACAGTAAGTGCTCTTAACCACTTCACTATCTCTCCAGTCCCACATCTTTGTTTCTTAAGTTAGTCACAGGAACTTCGGACACTGGCACCATTTTCAGTCTCATTTTCTCAGCCTGATTGACTACTATTTCTGCCTTCCTTGTTGCCACTGACACTTCTGGGGTGTTTATATTCTGATAGGAGTAATTCATGCACATACGTCTAAGGGAAGGAGACACACCGTCTGCTGTGCTATACACCTGCTTTACATGTTGCCCCGACAAACCCTGAACTAATCCTTCGCAAGTGGTCTTAATAAGGTCACTGGGGGCTTACATCTTAATCTCCTTGTGTATCTGCTTTGTGAGTATATAAACAATTAATGCTGAATTAATACAAATGATAAAAAATTCTATTAAAAATCTATGTAACTTGCCTTGGTGTCTTTTAAAAACTTGGTGGCATAATCCAAAGTGAGTGCCTCATACAGTGCAGAGGGTCGAACATCAACCACATCCCACACCTTCTGGGCCCACTTCTTCAGGTCAAATGCATTACCCAGGAGTTGATCATTAACAAAACACATCACATAGGAGGAATAGACCCAGGTTTCACCCCTCAGTTCCTACAGAGAAATGGGGGGTTGGGGCGGGATGGCAGAAAAATATAAAAAACAGTGCTAAAACCACAAACCAGATCTTACAATTAACTCTACAGCCTGATTTGCCAACTACAGTATTAAATCTTTTAAAATGTTTTTTAAAGCCATCTTTCAGAATTCTGCTGTCAAAAAGAATTTAACATTTTGAGACTCAACATAATGACAAACAGAGCTTAGAAAGCAATCTTTAAACTATTATAATCATAGGCAGATGAAATTTGGTAATAATAATATCTACATAGTGCACTTGTTCCATTGATTTGTGAGCTCAATGCAGTCTCTATCCTCATTTATGAAGCACACTTTACTGTATGCATTCTTGGAAGAGGCGCTGAGTAAGGCATGCTTTTCAATGCAAAGAACTGAGGTGTGTGCGTGCATGCATGTGTGCAAGAAAGGCATGCAACCCAGGCGCGAGACAAGAGATTATTCTGGATAGAGAATATCTGGCTCCCGATGGCCAACAGGAGTTTCCATACATGGTCAGGAACAAAGAAGAAAACCCACCTCCCCAACACTTTTACTTTTTTGTTTCGTTTGTTTTGTTTTTCCAGACAGGGTTTCTCTGTGTATCTTTGGCTGTCCTGGAACTAGCTCTGTAGACCAGGTTGCCCTTGAACTCAGAAATCCGCCTGCCTCTGCCTCCTGAGTGCTGGATTAAAGGTGTGGACCACCACTGCCCAGCATCCCCAATACTTCTAAGCTACTTAAAATGAAGTATATTAGTGTTTTCATCCATGCAATGCTGTCATCATCAACTTCCTAAATCCCCAGTGTGGCCTGGGTAACATCGACTCCTGAGAAGATACAGCCTGTTGTTTTCCAGTACCAGCCCTGGCAAACCATGAGTGACTTGGTTTTAGTAGAATCTGATTTGTGAGTCCATTCGATTGTCTGACTGGAGGATGGGACCTGATGGAGCATCTAGTGGTACCCAGGGAAGTGTTGGTTCTGTAACCAGAACATTGGAGTGCATGCTGCCTGTCACCCCAAACCCCAGTGAGCAGGGGGACGAGAATTGAATCTTTAAACTGTGCTTTATTCAGATAACTAACCATCTGGAAGACAGGATCAGCACCTCAAGTCTGCCTCCCTTTGTCGTCTTCAGTTCATACGACTTAAAAAGAACAAAGGCTGTCATTCCAAGGCTTCTGGTCAACTCTGAGATTCACGGTTTTGGTGCCCCTCTCTGTATCCCCTCCCCAACTTTCCCCTCATTATTTATTGACACTCTCCATTAGGGAGGTTTGGGTACTCCCTAGGCACCATCTAGAATGAGTTAACAGACAAGCAGGTCAGCAGTGTGCACACATATGCTGAGCTGTTCCAGATTCCTCTCTGCAACATGAAGCAATGAGAATGTGCCCTTGGAATATATGGCATTAAAGTGCCCATCTGTCCCTCCTGCTCCCAAGACTGCATTGGAAAAATACGAGTTTGGGCAACAATTTGCCTTCACCTAGCAGAATTGCCAGCTGGTCTGAGGAGCTTTAACATCTGCCGACTTGCTTTCTGTGCCTATCTCAAAACCTGCTTCCAGCTTTTCATTCTAGAAAGCAAACTTGCTCATGCTCCATGGTGAATTCCTGGTAAAGGCTAAGCAGGCCTGGTGTGTTTACATTTACTGGTGGTGTATTTTGCAAGATCCAAACCTACAACAAGAGGGGGAAATGTAACTGAGGTAGGTGGATGCCATACAATATAAATACATACACATACAATATAAATACTTTGTCTCCTGATGCGCATTGGGAGACTTTCTGGCTTGCCTCAAGGTAGCAGCAGCCTGGCTCTGATATTTTCCAGAGCTTTCTTCCACTAACCACTAATGATGCTGGGTTTTTTTGTTTTGTTTTGTTTTGTTTTGTTTATTTTTTTTGTGGAGAGATAGGCCTTCCCATGGACCCTGACAGGGGAGCCTTACATTCTCTGGAAGCAAATGGCCAGCTAAACCTAATGAACTGACTCACTGGGACCAAATGGGCTAGGTAACCCTACACTGAACACAAGACATGGTTTACACTAAAAAGTTAAGGGGACAAGCAAGGGAATGAGGGTGGGAGAGAGAAGAGAGGAAAGAGACCAAATAAAGCAATGATGGACCAGAAACCCTCGTTCAGAACAGCGGGGAAAGGCAAGCAGGCGCGTGTACAATGCCTAGGTAGGCCGGCTGGAAAGGAGGAGGAGGTGGAATGTGTAAGAGGATGGTGCAAGATGACTGGATGGATACAAACCACAGACTGCAGTAGGCAGAGGATGTGAGACTAGTTAGTAATATCATAAACCTGGTTATAAAACTTCCAAAATTATTTTATGTAGGGGCTGGAGAGATGGCTGCTCTTCGAGAGGACCTGGGTTCAATTTCCAGAACCCACATGGTGGCTCACAGCTGTCTCTAACTCCAGGCCCAGATCCAATGCCCTCTTTTGGCCTCTTTGGGCACTAGACATGCAGATGAAACACCCATGCATTTAATTAATTAAAAATTAATAGTTGAAAATTGTTTTAGGTTAGGGTTTGTCAACTGTCTGCTTTTGTTAAATTGCTTTAGTTTGACACTGAAATTCCTGTGTCCCACCTAAACCAGGACCATTGGTTATACCTAGCTGTACAAAGAACTGAATGTTTCCCTCCCTTCCTACCCACCTGTTAGAATAGTGTCCTCTATTTCTTAAGCACAAACATAAGTATTTACTATGACTTCCTCATATGACACGTGGCTGACTCAGGATGCCACCTTAGCATCTTTCTCACTCTGAGCTCCAGGTAATACTACCAAGAGGTAAGCTATCTACCATCCCCAAACAGGCTCTGTTGGTCCCGAGGCCCGCCTGGGTTCTCCAAGAGTACTGATGGAGAGAATGTGGAGAACAAAGCTTCAGGTAGGACAAGCTGCTCATAGGAGGGTAGTCACTGCCAGTAGAGGTTCTCAGACAACAGCCCCACACAACCCAGTTGTCTCGGTGACACTTTCCGATTTAAGGGCCAGGGTGTCACAGGAAGGGTACACACATATAAAGAAAGAAGGGTGGCCGTCAGGGCTAGCTATCGTCTCCGACAGTTTAAAACTCGTCTCTCTCCAATGCCACTTATAAGAACATTCTACAAATATTTTACTGTTTGAGGAAGATGTCTAGGGAGATGATTAAAATAACTTAGGGAAAGTACATAATTAAGAGAAATAATTATGCTGGAGTCTGTCATTTTTCCAAAACTGCACAAATAATTCACACAGAAGTGGACTTGTCATTATCCCCATGCTGACATATCCCTTACCCTCTTTTTCTCCTGTAGATACTGATCCCAATCAAACTCTTGAAGAGGAATTATCACAGGATCTTCAAATCTGGATGGGTAACTGTTTTTCAGAGTCTAGGTTGCAAGATAGAACAGTTTAAGTTCTCATTTATGTATTTATGCATTATCTGGGGGGCAGGACACATAGCCGTGCACGCGCACATGAGGACCAGGCAGGACACATAGCCGTGCACGCACACGAGGACCAGAGGTCTTCCCTTTCTCCCCCCCCAGCCCCCCAGCTCACTTGCTGAGACAGGTCTTTGGTTAAACTTGGAGCTGTTTCAGCTATGCTGGCTGCTTAGGGTTACAGGAGCAGTCCGCTGAGCTTGGCCTTCACACAGGGACCAGGACCCTGAACACAGCTCCTCATGCCTGCCCAGCAAGGTCCCTAAGGTTTCTTTGGAAAGTCAAAATCATTTCTCTACATGTTTTTTTCTTTTTTGTTTTTTCCAAACAGGGTTTCTCTGTTGCTTTGGAGCCTGTCCTAGAACTCGCTCTGTAGACCAGGCTGGCCTTGAACTCACAGAGATCGGCCTGCCTCCCCAGTGATGGGACTAAAGGCATGCACCACCACCACCTGGTCATTTGTCTAGATGACCTTTAGGCAGTTTCACACAGCACACACAGGCCATGCTGCCTGACTGAGATGCCCTGGCCTGTTCTCAGAGGCTCTGGCAACTCATTCCGCCCTTAAGGGAACAAGATCTAGAGGGCAAGGTACGTCTTAGTCTTCCAATATCATTACCACATCTGGTGTGTAGTAGGCCACCGACATATAACTCAATAAATGAGTTTATACCAATGGTTTAAGGATCTGTTATGTTCTTTTAGACTATTTTTCTCCTAAATTAAATTGCTAAGCCTCAGTAGATCTACAGGTACTTGATTTGTAGCAAAAAATTATAAATATTATTGTCTTAATTTATTGATGTAAGGAAAATTACCAAAAGGACACTGTTGTGGTTATGTCATTCAGGAAAAGAGAAGCAAATGCTAAGTAAGTTTCGGCTTCTAGATAAATTTTAGTATTGAGTGTGCTTTAGTGAAACAGTTTTCATGTGAATCGGAGAAAAATTACTCTTAAAAAACTGCGTGTGTTGGGATTGGGTTTATGTTCATGTGGGCGCTCATGGAGACCAGATCTGGAGTTAGTTGTAAGTGGTTGTAAGCTGGCAGACCATGCTGGTAACCAAATCTCTATTGCTAAGGATGATGCCTGGAGGCCCTGCTGTGGCCTGGAAAAGCTCAGGCCTGGAATGCTCCACTAGGCATGACCTGTTCAAGAGGGAGGAAGCCTGCCTGAGTGTATCATACTCTGGGATGGTGCAAGATGGCACCAGCAACCCACACAACAGAATTATTTCTCAGTTCCACAGTCTGTGTAGGATGACCACTGTTTCTAAGTGAGGAACTATCTAGAATAAGTAACAAGATGAGTAGTTTTTAAATTAAACCCCATTATCTTGTTCATAATAACAGCATTTGTTGTAGAATGGACCTCATCCAAATTAAAATGTATGCTAATATTTATCCTTACCTTTTACAAATCTAAATCTGTCTATGAATCAGGCATCTGGGGTTACTCCCAAATATATTGGGATTATAATAGAATATCTTTGGTTATTCTAGGACTAACTGAATTTACACTGATATATTTTCATATTTGAATATAGACCCAAGAGGCAAAAAACTTAAAGAAAAATTACATTTTTAGAATATTAAAGACATTGTTTTCTTGATTAGTATCCTCGATAGCAGATGTTGGCTCCAAAGAACTGACAGCCAAGAATAATTTTCACATCTTTTAATGACTGAAAACAATCAAAAGATGAATTATATTTTGTGTTACATCAAAATTATATATAAGTCCAACACAACATCTCAATAAAGTCTTATTGGAACACTACCTGCTACTATTCACTCACTCCTGTAGCTGCTGCTTTGCTTTGTTGTAGTGACAGGCACTGTACTGCTATGTAGCCCAGGCTGACCTTGACCTTGAACTCTATTTTCCTGTCTTGACCTCTTGAGTGCCAGGAATATAGGCCAGTTACTATACCTGAGCACACTGCTTTCAGAAGGTATGTCTGAGACCCTGTCCCAGAATACTTAACATATTTCTACTTGGACTTCACAGGAAGAAAAAAAATGCACATACTTTACCTGTAGAGTGGAACAGCCACAAGAAATATAAGAGAATCAACTACGAAAGAATCCCTCAAACTCTGAAATACCACAAAACCCTGGTTCAAAACAGCAATAAAAACGAAACAAACAGAACCAAGAGACCTTTCTTTATTCTCCTAGACACCCCAAACAGCCCATTCCTCTGTGGATGCTGGAGCAAGCAAGATGCAGGGGTTTCTGAAGGTGAATTCTACTTGGCTGCCCTTGCACCATCTGGGCAGTCTGGAAAAACAAGCACAATCGGCAGGTGGCCGGGGGGCTGAGCTGGTGTGTTTCACCATCATCCTCCCACGTTTCTCCTGCTGTCAGCTTGCAGATGGGCTGCAACATGACTGACCTGGCTAGATTTGTTTGTTTCTTCAAGTGTTTTATATCATTCTGTGTATTTACAAGGACAGAGGTGGATTCTTCAAAGCACTTCTCGGCCGTCTTAAGAATTCTGATATGTATCTAGTTCTGTTAGAACGCAGAAACACAGAAATTTTAAAGGGAAAACCTTCCAGAATGAAATTACCAAAAATCACAAGTAGCTTTTTTTTCCCCCAGCTAGTTATGCGGTAACATTTTTCTGTAAATCCGTAATTCACCCAAAACCACTCGTACTGGCATCTCGATTCATGGGTGCGCGGCAATTATCACCCGCCCCCCTCGGTTCTAAGCGGTCGCTTCTCTCTTTCCGGTTCGCCCTTCCTCGCGACCTGCACGTGTCCTCCACACACCCACCCGGTCGGAGGGCAGAACGTGGACCCCGCCAGCGCTGGCCGGACCAAGGCAGGGGGCTGCCGCGCTCGTAGAGTCTGGGGGAGGGCTTACCTCAGCGATGGTCTTCGACACCTGAAAGCTGGAGCTTTTGAAGAGCCCCACCACCTTCACCTGCAGCAGCGGCTCCGGCTGCACCAGCGTGCGGCAAGCTGAGGCCTTTGGCCGGCACTGCTGCGGAGAGGCGGTCATGGTAGCGCTATCGGACAGCCCGGAGCACAAACACTGGGAGTCGCCACGGCAACCGCGTGGCTCCGCCCCAACGCCCACAAGGGGCGGGGCCTGGACAGCTGGCGTGGGCAGGGCTTCGCCTTAACTTTGAGCCTGTTGCTGGTGAAGCCGGGCCAGGGCCAAGCCAGGAACCCGTAGGCCGCGGTCCCGGCATCCGGCCGAGGAACCGAAGAGCCTGGAGCGGTTCACCCGGGACCCTCCCCAGGACTGCCGGCGGTCTCGCGCAGCCCGCCCCGGGTTTGCAGCTGACCTCCTTTCCGGGTAGGCGGACGGCCTGTTGTCCCGGTAACGCGGGAGTCGTCCCCGGCTCGCGTTCGTGGGACTGTGCGGCGCGGGACAGGGCCGGCCAGTGCGCTCCGTCAGCCTCGCCGCGGTGGCCCCCAAAGCACCCCAGCCATGAAGCCCAACTTCTCTCTCCGGCTGAGGGTTTTCAACCTCAACTGCTGGTAAGTGCGCCCAGGCGGGCTGCGGCCTCGGGGCCACCTTCCTGTCCCCACCCGCTCATGCCTAGGACGGAAGTGGGCCTTCTTCAGCCACGACCCTGGCTTTCCCGAACCGCCTAAGTCCATAACGTCCAGAGCCCAGAGCTCGGGTAGTGGCAGCAGTCGTCTCCCCGAACCTGGCCCTTCTCTTTCTGTTTTTTAAGAAAATATACGTTTATTTGATTTGCATTGGTGTTTTGCCTGCATGTATGTCTGTGTGAAGGTGCCAGATCCCCTGGAACTGGAGTTACAGACAGTGGTGAGCTGTCGTGTTGGTGCCAGGAATTGAATCCAGGTCCTCTGGAAGAGCTGCCAGTGTTCTTAACCGCCGGGCCACCACCCCCACTTCCCACCCCCCCAACCCCCGGCTTCTCTTTTTTAGGGACATTCCCTACCTGAGCAAGCATAGGGCCGACCGCTTGAAGCGCTTGGGAGACTTTCTTAATTTGGAAAGCTTCGACCTGGCTTTACTGCAGGAGGTGAGGTAGTACTGCAGGCTAGGCTGGGAAGAAGGCAGCAGGGGGCGCAGGGGAATCTTCTCTCTAGGATAAAGTCCAAGCAAGCATCCTCACCTTTGTCCTCAGGTGTGGAGTGAGCAGGACTTCCAGTACCTAAGGCAAAAACTATCGCTCACCTACCCAGATGCACACTACTTCAGAAGGTAAAAAAAAAAAAAAAAAAAAATCTATAGCTGGGGCCTGTTCTCAGGCCAGGAAGCTCTTCTCTCTCCCATATTCTTGCTTGCACCGGTCATCCTCTTCCTCTCAGGCTGGCCCTGCATCCTCTCGCTGTCTTAAGCTTTGTTCTGGGGCTGATCTTAGCAGTAGAGAGAAAAGTTGCTGCTCAGAGCTGGGAGACAAGGGAGGGGAAGAGGGCTGGGTATTCCCCTCCTTGCTTTTCTAGTTATTAAGCAAGACTTGACTTTCAGCGGAATCATCGGCAGCGGCCTCTGTGTGTTCTCCAGACATCCAATCCAGGAAATTATCCAGCATGTCTACACTCTCAATGGCTACCCCTACATGGTAAGGGTCTCCTCCCACCTCTGCTATCACAAACTGGGTGCAGTCCTTCCAGGGCCTTGGCAAAAGGAGGGTGGCGGTGCTCTGAGTTGCTGTCTTTGGCCTGCAGGTCTATCATGGAGACTGGTTCTGTGGGAAGGCTGTGGGGCTGCTGGTGCTCCATCTGAATGGACTGGTGCTCAATGCCTACGTGACCCATGTGAGTGAAGCTAGCCAGGCTTAGGCTCTGGTAGAGATGGCACTCCACTAGCTCAGCTGCTTGGGGTGAGGCCTGGGATCAGAGGGTGGCTGTGGGCAAGGTTCACCCATTCTGTGCCAAGCTCCATGCCAAGTGACAATGCAGGTCTGCTTTAGACAACCTTCAGGGCCCTTAATCTTATCTGTAATCTCACCTATTCCACTTTAGCTACATGCTGAGTACAGTCGACAGAAGGACATCTACCGAGCACACCGTGTGGTCCAAGCTTGGGAACTGGCCCAGTTCATCCAGTGTGTGAGCCTGGGCTTGACAGGGGAAGTGGGGTGGGGACTGGGGCTGAGGGGTGGCTGGTTTCATTGAGAAGGCAGATAGTAAGGGAAGAATTTCTTCCTCATCACTCTGTTCCCTCCTGTCCCCAGCCACACGTCCAAGAGTGCAGATGTGGTTCTGTTGTGTGGGGACCTCAACATGCATCCCAAAGACCTGGGCTGCTGCCTGCTGAAAGAGTGGACGGGGCTCCGGGATGCCTATGTGGAGACTCAGGACTTTAAGGTGAGGGAGCCCATGCGATTGTTTCCCACCACATTGTTTCAGCCCTCCTACCTCGAAGCATCCTAGCCACCTGTTTCCCTAGGGCTCTGAAGATGGCTGTACCATGGTACCCAAGAACTGCTATGTCAGCCAGCAGGACCTGGGTCCATTTCCACTTGGCATCCGCATTGACTATGTGCTTTACAAGGTCAGGCTCTTACCCCCAGCATGCCTTTCTCCATTCTCTTCCTGTCACCAGCCCATGCTGATCATTAGTTCAGCTGATGTAGTTTTGGGCCACAGAGGGCTGGGGAAATAGGATTCCGTTGGCTGGTTCTCTGGGAGAGTATACGCTTCTCTTTCTTTGCTCTTCCTAGGCAGTTTCTGGGTTCTACATCTACTGTAAGACTCTGAAAACCACTACAGGTTGTGACCCCCACAATGGCACCCCCCTCTCTGATCATGAGGCCCTCATGGCCACTTTGTATGTGAAGCACAGCCCCCCTCAGGAAGACCCCTGTCCTGCCCCTGGTGAGTCAGCTTTCCCCTTGCCCCTTTCTACTCCTAGGCAGCCCCAGCCTCCATTCTGACCCTCCCCTGCTCTGCTGTTCTCCCTTATTCTAGGACCAGCTGAACGGTCAGCCCTGACCAGTGTGCTAAGGGAGGCGTGGACAGAGCTGGGGCTAGGCATAGCTCAAGCTCGCTGGTGGGCTTCGTTCACTGGCTATGTGATTGTCTTAGGGCTGTTCCTCCTGGTGTCACTATGTGTCCTGGCTGCAGAAGAAGGGGCCAGGGAAGTGGCCATACTGCTCTGGACACCCAATGTGGGGCTGGTGCTGGGGGCAGGTGCAGTTTACATCTTCCACATGCAGGAGGCCAAAGGCCTGTGTCGGGCCCAGACTGAACTCCAGCATGTTCTGAGAAGGGAAAAGGCAACCCAGGGCCTAGACTCAGAGCCTCACCCAGCCCCGCTGCTGACAGCAGGAGGTGGGCAGAGCTGAAGAACAATAAAACTGACACACTGCACTGGCTCTACCTTGTCCCTTGCAGGGGCTGCGATGGGAACTGCGTTTTAGTGGCTTGTCACTATGCGGGCTTCAGAGCACTGGCTCTTTACCTGCCTTCCTTGCACATCCCCATCTCCCCCTGAACACAGCACAAACCCTGTTCATGGCCATAACACGTTTATTTTCAACAACGAAGCCTCTGACTAGACAGTCCAGATGGCAGAGGTACTGCCCTTGGATGATGTCTGCTTACAGGGCAGGGAGCAGGCATAGAGCTAAGCACCTTCTAGCCCTGGGCCCCCGTTTCTGAAGCCATCTCACTGAGCCTTCGTTCCTCCTGGAAGCGGATGAGGGCATCCCGCTGGTTCACCACATCCAACAGCTTCCTCAGGACCCGGTCCTCGGACTGACGATCGGCCTCTGTCTTCAGGGTTTCTAGAGAGGAAAGAGGGCCTTAGTGAACAGGCAGGAGGAGCCTGAAGAGAGCCTTAGTGAACAGGCAGGAGGAGCCTGAAGAGAGGGTCAAGCTAACTCAGCCTGCGTGGTTTCTACAACCCAGGCTTTACTTGTTGAGACTTCAAGCTTAGGTTTGCACCTGGGGCGGTTTCCTAGGTTTCATCAGCACCAGCCCTCCTGTTAAAGGAGATACTGCACAAAAGCCAATTGCACAGCCCTGACAGAAGGGTGAGTGGAGGCTTGGTGATCACATCCTTTGGTTTCCTCCTCAACTGTCTCAGCAGGCTAAAGGCCAGAAGACCAAGGTCATGAGATAGCCCACAGACCTTCCCGATTCATGTAGCCTCGCAGCTCCTGGTCCAGCTGCCACTGTTTCTCTTCCAGGTCCAGTTCCTGAACCCTGTAGAGACCAGAGATTGCAGAAGTACAGCTAAGCAGGGCACTCACAGGGATGAGACTGGGCTCACATACTGTGTCACCACCCCCGGCCTTACGTAATCATGAGCTCAGCCTCTTCAGATACTAGGCTGTTTTTCTTCTGAATGAGTTGTAGCAGCTGCTCTAGCCAGAGTTTCTTTTGCTGTTCTGGAGAGCCTGATAATAAGGAAAAGGAATAGAAGAGCTCACAGGGTGACAGGATCCAGGGGAAACAACTTTTTATGGATGTCAGCCGTGTGGCACATCCATTGGGCCCAGGGATTGCTGAGGGCTGAACATGGTGCCAGGAGCCAGAGAGATGTCTGTGCTAGCATGCCTCTCCTGTCTTTACTCACTGCTCTGTCTCCTCAAGGCCAGCTCCAGCTTTGTGCCTTCCGTCTCCAGGTCCCGCATAGCAGCCTCAATCTCATGTAGTCTTCGCTGGATGGCCTGCGGGTTTTAAGACAGGACATCCCAGATTGCTCAAGAATAGAGCACTGATGATGCTCTGCATTCAGACAATTCAGACATTCAGACAATACCTGGCAGAGCCCTGGTAGCCTGGGGTTTTGGGGCTCACCTGGGCCTTGCAAAACCTCTTCATCTCCTCCTCTTTGGCTCGGCGCATGAGGGTTCGATACCATGTCGGGTACTTAGTCATGGTGCCTGAGTTCTTAGCAATGGTCAGTAGAGTCTGTGGGAGGGTTGGACCAGTCAGCAGAAGGCCTGGCCCCTAGTTAGGAGTGGAGGAAACTGGAAGGGTGAGAAACTGGGATGGAAGCAGGTAAACAAGATACCTAGAAGCGAGTTAGACTAGGTGAGAAGACATTCCAAGCGGAGAATGCAGGCTATTGGTGCTTCTATGGTGGGGGTTGAAAATACCTGGCAGATGCCTCCTAGCTTGGCAGAGTAGCCGCCCCTTACCTGCTCTAAGTCTGGCTCCAAAGGCATTTCTTCCTCTTCCTCCTCCTCTTCCTCACTGGAAAAGGGACTTTCTTCCACCTCTGTGGCCTCAGGAACTGAGCAGGGGAGAAGTAGGTATATCATGGGAATCCAGTGGCCCATGTTTCTATTTCCCAGAATCTGAATGGCAGAAATTCGAGTCTCCCTCCCCCTCCTCCTGCAGCCTCCCAGATGAGCACATCTGCAGCAAGAGTACCTACCTTGTGGCGCTTGGACTGGCACACCCCAACCCACAAAACTGCCCTCCAGAGCCTGGCGGGCCAAGGCAGAGCAGCTTCGTGGGGGCTTGGGTGGAGGCTCTGTTCCTGGGTCAGGGATAATGGCCAAGGAGGACAGCCGCAGGCGTTCTAAACTGGAGAGGCGGATCAGCCGACGGGTAGGCTGGCTGGGGCTTGGGACAGGGCTGACCCTCTCCACAGGAGATACAGGAGGTGAGGGGCCTGGCTGCATGCTGTGGTCATCTGGTGTAGGGAGCTCCTGGAAAAGCCACCATATGGTCTGGTCATGACTGCATCTAGTGGACATTGTCAGGCAGTGCTCTGGATAGCAGTATCCTTCAGTGGAGGACAGCATCCATTTACTGCCAGCAAAGTCCACTGATCTGGGGAGACCTGCCTCTTCCCACAGCCCATCACACACAGAAGGACTTTTGTTTTGAACCTGGTTCTCTGGACTTCCATCGCTGTCAGCCTCCTTTTGGCCCTCCTGGGGCAGGTGCTGGAGACAGTAGAAATGTCCTGAGAAGGGTAGAAGAGGCCAGGCATCAGCCCACTGCCCAGATACTCAGAGGGAAGGTGGAGGCCGCAAGACTGGGATTTGTTAGGACTCCACACCTAAAGCTTTGGAGGAATTGGGAACCTGTTGCCACCTATTGTCCAGCCCTCTCCCTCCTCCCCACCTCCAAGCTCCTTGACCTGAAGAAAGCACCAAGTCTGAAATCCCTGTAGCGTCTCCCAGGCCCACCTACCATCTCCTGGATGTTGCCTATAGCCACCTGGCCACAATGTGACCTCACAGGTATGGCAGCGGAAGCAGCCCCGGTGGAAGAAATGGCCATCCACACAGAAGCGTTCCAGGATGTAGAGGTGTTTCCCACAAAGTTCACACAAATCCTCTGCCCCAGCCTGCACAGAACCCCAGGATACAGGATCAGCTGGACCCAGAGCCAGCTGCCAAGGCCTTCCATCCCCCATAGCCCTTCCTCACCCTTGTAGGCTTTTGCAAACAGGGCTCTAGATCTTACCTCCTGGTGTTCAGATGGCAGTGATGGGGGTACACTGGGCTCAGAGACAGGGGGCTCCTCAGTACGTGGAGTCTCAGCCTCTACCTAGGAGGGAATGAATGCCCAGGAATGCGAGCAGGGGAGTAGGTGTGGGCAGAAAGAAAAGGCTGGAAGGGAAGGAAAGGGAGTAAGACTAGACAGGGAAACGAGCTATAGAACTGGCGCTGGAGGGCAAGTCACGGGAAATAGGGCCGAGCAGAGAGAGAGTGCTGGCCTGTCCTACCCTATGTCTGCATTTACCTGCAAGGGAAGTTCTTGCCACTAGCATCCTCCCTACAACAAGTCCTACAGCTGTGGCCATAATGTGAGTCCAGCTCTCCCCTCCCCTCATGTAGAGTGTATTCTCTCCTATCCCTGGAACCTCACTGGGCACCCCTTCTCCAGCCTCAACCCTGCTTAGACTCCTCACCTTGGCCCGGGTCCGTTGTAGGGTCCTCTGCAGTTTACCAAGGAAAAGTATAGCATTGGGGGTCCCAGAAGGAGCCTGGCTGACAGGGCCTGCTGAAGAGTTGGGTGTCAGCACTACTACCTTTATATAGCCACCTTCTGCCTGAGGTGGGCCCTTTGATGGGCTTTTCTCTCCTGCTCCTGCTCTTGCCCTTGCCCTGTCCTGCCCACCTGCCCTCACTCACCTGAGCTGTGGGGCATGTTCTTGAAGGCACTGTGGAAGTGGCTGAGGTAGGCAATGAGGCCCAGTGGGTCACTGCCTACCACTACTGCCTGTGCGGATAGCACTGGGGTGACGCCCAGCTCTTGTTCTGCTACCTTCAGTGCCCAGGCGGTGGCTTCTAGAGCTCCCATGCCCTGCAGCTCTGAGGGTTCCCTGTGGAGCACCAGATGAGATGCCAATGAGAGATCCAGACCTGGCTCCATTGAGGGGGCAGGGAGGGAAGTTAAGACCAGAAGGAGACAAGAAATAGCAAAGGCATGAAGGCTGGTTTGTTGGTGGTTATGTACCACCATGTCATTTTTTGTGTAGTTTGTTTTCCCCCACCCTGCCCCTGTTCCTTTGGACAGGCTCCTTGGCCACATGTTGTACATATATACCTGAGGCAGCCCCTCTTTGTCTTAAGGAAGCTGGCCACTCAGCCCCCTGCCCACAGGGAAGGAGTATTCCTGTGGTAGCACTCCAGGAAACCCAGCTGTCTGATCCTGGCAGCCCAGGAGCATCAGGGAAGGCCTGGCTTTGGGGAAGGCAGTTGATTTGGGAAGATGAGAGGGGATTCTGGGAGGTCTGGATTGGTACTGTGTGGCTAAGATGGGCCTCAAAATCACAGTGATCTGCCTGCTTTTCCTTCCAAAGTGCTTTGATTATAGTTGCATGCTATCACACCTAACAGTAGAGAGTGGGTTGTGGGTGTGGGGGTGTAGGGTTGTGTGTGTGGGGTGTTTATGTGGGTGTAGGGGTGTGTGGGGGTTTGAACCAGGGTTTCACTCATGCTAAGCAAGCGTGCCCTACCACTGCACTCCCTCCCAGTCTTCCATGGCTTCTGACTTTTCTATCTGGATGCAGTGGATTCTAGAAGATTCTGCCAGGCTGGTGAGCAGGCCAGGCCGGAACACCACCTCTGGGAGGTGAAGTGACAGGTGCAGCTGTGACTTGGTGGACTGCCATCTCCTGCACAGCATCATCTTAGCATGCAGAAGAGGGGAGGCACAGGAGAGAGGTACAGGAGAGAGGCACGACTCACAGCAGGCCAGGCTGTAGGCGGTGCACCAGGGCACACAGAGCTCGTCCATCAGCCCAGGAGGAAGAAAAGTCCGTGACATGGACTCCAGGAAACCCAGCTGTCTGCTTCTGGCACCAGCGCAGGAGCTCCTCAGTGCCTGCTGACCCTAGGAGAAAATTGTGCTATACCCAAGGCCCACACTTGCTGCTGAGCATGTAAGAACCTGGCAGTCAGACTAATGGTCAAGCCTAGCAGCACCTCCTTCTTCCCCATTCTATTTAAAAAAATCCCTTCTTAACACACAGTAGGGCAACAAAGAGCAACCAAGATAGCCACATAAAAGCCAGAGGGGTAAACAGGTAGGATGGCTCAGGCTCAAAGAATAGGTGGCTTGGCTTTACACGCAGTGCTGGCTGGAAGCAGTTGGCAGAACAGCTGGAACAGTTTGGCACAGCTGCAGCTGCTCAGCACTGCTGGTGCCATGGTGGCGGAAACTACTGAGCTGCTTCCATACTGGCACATAGCTGCTACCCAAGCTCTGCAGCCCCTCCAACCCACCCCACCGAACCCCAAACCATTCACAAAACAAGCTTCCTCATGCAGTACAGGGCTCTGCAGCCACTGCAGCATGCTGACTGCCTCCTGGCTGTTGGAAGGCCTGCTCACCTGTGGCTGCCTTCCCTGAGTCGGTCTTGTCACCCTTCCTCTGCACATGCTCCTTGTCCACCACGTCATACAGGTCTTGTACCTAAAGCAGCAGCTTCTCAATTTCAAGGCAGATGACCACCTGCCCCATCAGTCGAGGGGGAGGAGTCTGCCTATGGTAGGAGACACCCCCCCCCCCCCCGCAAACGAA